GGGGAGGATTTAAAAGAGATAGAGGTTGAAAGGGCTGTGAGGAAATGTACGGAAGAGTAATTTTCAAAAATCTGTGGGTAAATCCTGCCGTCAAAAAGAAAATTAAAATTTTTAAACCGGGGTTTTATAATGCTCGCATACAAGGGGAATTTTCCGTCACCCAAATATTATAATACCTTGTACAACTATGTATCAAAGTCCAGGGGTAAACTATATGAAAATATTTTGAAGGTGAGGACCGGTTCCAAGGAGGGAAGGGGGGGCAGACTCCCTCGTTTGGGAGTTTGTCTTACGCCCCAAAATGGGCCAAAAATAAACTGTGTATTGGGGAAGTAATATAAAATTTTTTAATTTTTTATTTTAATTTAGGAAAAACGCTAAATCTGAGAGAAAAATATTCCAAAGGGAAAGGAAAACCCAAACCAGTTTGATCTAAGGAAAAATGAGGGTAAAATCCCTGCCCCTTTGAAACAAGTGTTCTTCACCGAATCCAGGCTCTCCCTTGAAGGGGAAAATGATCAATTTAAAAATTAACTGGACCCCTAAGAAATTTCTACACGTATTTTTTTTGGGGAGTTTTTACTTTGAAAGATGATCCCAAAAATTTTAAAATCATTTTTAAAAAGTTTAAAGGTGTGGCAGAGACAGTCACCAGTTTTGAACCCAAACTTTTCAAATTTTACCCAAAAAAAAAACTTTTAGAAACTACAGCTGTTTAATTTCCCTTTTGGCTTTTTGCGCTTCTTTTTTTTATTAAAAATAATAATAATTTTAGATTACCCAAAAATTTAAAAAATAAAAAAGGGACATCCCTATTATTTTTTAAAGTTAAAATAACCCGAAGTCTTGAGATTGTATCCACTTTTTTTTTATTTTATTAAAATAAATTTTTTTATTCCCTTTAAAAATAAAACTATGCAGTTAAATTTGTTTTTTAATTTTAAACCCAAATTTTTTTTACCCCGTACGTCATATAAAAAACCTCCTGAGAGATAATCTTTGCGTTTACTATTTTACATAATGAACTAACGGTGAAACTTTTTTTCTAACCCCAAACCCTTTGGGGGCTTATTAACCCAGGATAACAGAGGGAAAACCAAGCAGGGGGTTTTCCTAAAATTTTTTTTTAGAGTTCCCCCTTTAAAGGGACTCTTTCCCGGAATTTAGAACCCCAAAAACAGCAGACTGCCTTGGGCGCTAGAATAATCAAAAAAAACACGTCCTGTTAAAAATTTTTTCGTCTGGAAGGTAAACTGGGGCCTTTGTAATCGCAGATTCTGGACCTCCCTTTGCGCTTCCTTACTAACAGGGAGGCCCCCCGCTGGTAGTGAAGGAAATTTAAATCCCGCTCCCACAGTGTAGCTTAGTTGTTTTTTAAACGGTCATTTTGGTTTTTTTGAGTGCAGGGGGAAAGGGGGGGGGAAATTGTCCCGCGTCTTCTTCAGATAAAAAAAGGGGAGTGGTGCGGTTCAAGAGTCTGAAAAATTTCCCAGCCCTTCTGTGGAAAAGAATGTTTAATTTTTCCATGAGGAAACACAATTTCTTTCCCCGAGTTTCCTTTCTCAATGTCATCCTCTGTCCCCAGCTGCTGGGTGTCTTCGTGTAGCCCGGGTTTTTTCCTTTTTTCAGGGGGATTCCCCCCATTTCCCGTTGCCTTGAATATATAGAGAAAACAAATTTACATTTTTATTCGCTTCCTTAAACGTATACCAAACCCGTAACCCTTTGGTTTGGGATTGTGACCTAATTCATGCCCGGTTACCCATTTAAAGAGGTGTAGATTGTGCAACATAAGTCATAGTACCCCCCCTGTCAAACATGGCTGGAAGCCAGAATGTGCACTCCCAGCAGTGAAACTGCACATCATCTTTTTTTGCCATTGCTTTCCTTTTGGGGGGGGGATCTCTCTCATCAAATCCAGGAAAAGAAAATCAAAGTTTATGATCAAAAATCGTTTGTTAAACCGGGCCCTTTGTAACTCGTCAAGTTCGGTGATTTTTCTAGCTGACCCGAGTTGGAACCACCAAACCCCTACCCCTTTTTTGTCCCCTTTGGGTTGATATGGCGCTTAATTGTTTTAATGTTTTCCCCCTTTTCAGCAGTAGTTTGTCCCCCAAAAATAATGTGGAGCCTTTAAAAAACAATTTTTTAAATTCGACATTAATATTAAAACTCCCCCCTTCAAAAAAGAAGATCCCAAATTTCCACCAAACTGGCTAAAGAAGCAAATTTTCCCCCGGTCTACATCAAAACTTTTCCGTCCCCTAGTGGCATACGCTTAAATGAATTTCCTTTAGAATTCCCTTGTTTCAGTGTGGGTCCAACAGTCACATTTACAACCCCCACGCACAGGATTTTTTGAAGGGACTTCAGGTGGAAAAGTGAGCGGGGAGGATGACTTTGGGAAAAACGCTTCCAGCCGCCCGTACAGGCCCTGGGTTGCCAATCCTTTTAGGGACAGTTTTATGCGCAGGTTTTTTACGTTGTTTCCTCCAGTGATCCTTTTGGGTATGCTTCTGTTGATCCTTGGTGTGGTGGGCGCCCCCACGGCCGGGGGGAAAAATTTTCAAAATCCCTCTGGTAAGGCACCGGGGTGAGACAGCGGACTTTTCCCCTTTTTGATCAACCCTCCGGGGGAACTTCCCTTTCCCTTTTTGTTGTATTTAAACTTTGGCGAGAAAGGGGTATATACTTTTGGGTGCGATGCTGCTTGAAGGGTTTAAGGGGTGCCACCCTCTCTTTTTTATACCCCCCCTTCTTGGGGAAAAATAATGAGGGGTTTTTCGAGGCTTTCTCCCAGGGCCATTTCCTGGGAAAGTTTTCCCCCACTTATTAACCCGTTGATTTGATATTCCAAGTCCAGGAGCTAGAGCTGCAGGGGGTCAAGCTTGAGGGAATGGAAATTCCCCGGGCAGGCAAACCCGACGAGGGAAAAGATCACATCCCCACAACCAGCGGGTATCTTTCAGGGAAACCCCTGTGGGCTACCCGCCTCCCTTTATAGGGGCCCCAAGGGCCCCCACAGCATCGTCAGGGGGCCTCCCCACTCACCACCGTCCGAAGGTGTTCGTGCTTTTGGGTGTTATATAGGGCAGGCGCCCCTGTTGGTTAAAATTAACGGGGAATTTGTAAAAACAATTTGGAAAACAGCACAGGGGGTAAATAAACTTTGGGGCCGATTTAAAAATTTTACATTTTTATTAGTTTCTTTTTTTTTTTTGAATAGCAAATTTAACCCCTTTTTCCCATTTGCCAAAAAGTATGTCGTTTTCTCTTTTTCCCCCGTTTCAACTTTATATGGCGCTTTCCCTTTTTGTGCAAACCCAAAAGAGGAAATCTATTATACTTACCCCATTTTATTTTATAAGGGGGTTGCAGCACTGTTTTATGAAAAAGTTCTTTACAATTTTCTTCGAGAATATTTTTTTTTCCCGCCAAACAGCGCTGTAAGATAAGATAAGATAAGATTTCGTTCTGATTTTTTAAACCCCGGAGGGTTACCACCCAGGATAACCCAAGAAAGCAGTGCGTCATCGAAAGGGCTGTCCCAAATTATTTCCATTGGGGGCTTAATTTTGTCCCCCCGGAAAAGCGACCCACCCCCAGCGGGCCCAACAAACCCCGGTACCTATTTGCTGCTAGGTGAACAGGAAAAACAGGTGTAAGGAAAAGTGTCGAAAAAAGTTTTCCACCCGCGGGGAAACGAACCCGGGCCCCCCGGGTGTGAAGCGGGGGCTTTTAAACCCCGCCCCTTTGGGTTAGCGCTTCTTTTTGATAAATAATAATATAATAATAATAATAATAATAATAATAAAATAATAAAAATAAAGTTGCGCTCAAAAAATTTCAGTAACCAGGTGTAAGCAACCCGAAAATTTTTTGAAAAAAAAATATTTTTTGCTCATTTTTCGTGGGGTCAAACGTACTTACAAGGGAAAAAGAAAGAAGGGGGGGGGGGGCAAATAAGAATAATACTATGTAAAAAATTAAGAAAAAAAAAAAACAAATTGCTGAAAAAATAATGCATATGGTATACCTTACTGCTTCATATAATTTTTTTCCTCATTGAAGGGGTTTTTTTCATATTACATTATTAAGAAAAAATTTAAATAAAAATGTTTTTTTTTTTTTTTCCCTTTTGGAAGAAAATAATCGACATAAAAAGTGGGGAGATTAAAAACTCATCTGAACTTAAGGTTTTTTTTAACCCGGCAGGGGGGTTCAACATTATTTTTCAAACTGGCCTTTGGCAAACACCTAAAGTTTAGTTCCCGATTTACCGGGGGTGTGGGGTCGTACGTTGGGTTTTCGGTGCAGCCTCAGCAAAAGCCTGGTTTTATCAGGGCTTTGATCCACCAGGAGGCCCGGCACAGACCGGGCCGCGGGGGGCCCCCAAAAATTTACCCCCCAAACTCTCCCAGGTAAAAATCCAGGGTTTCCCCAGTGAAAAGTAGGGGGGGGGGGGGGGGGGGGGGGGGGGGGGGCCACGAGTTTCACAGAGAAAAAACAAATTTAATTTTGTCCGGGGGGCCCAAAAATGTTTTAACTTTTCTCCCAAACATAAAATAAGGGGGAAATCAAAAGAACCCCGACTATTTCAAGAAACAATGGGCCGGCACCTAAAGTCATACCTGACCAACCGGGCTAGGGGTTTGTACGTCAGTTTTTCGTGCGGCCAACAGTAACGCCGGTTTATTTAAACCCTGGACCCCCACGGGGCCCGGGCTTTTAGACGGGGCAAACGGGGGCGTTGACCCTCAAAAAACCCCCTCCAGGTAAATTCCCCCCAAGTAAAAACTAGCAACGAGGGGATTTCTGTTGCCACGATATTTTTCTCTATGTTCCACACTCGCTGGTTTTTTGGGTTTTACTCAAGGGGGCTTGTCCGGGGGGTTTGTAAACTGTGTCGGGCTTTAAAGCCAATTATACAATATCTCAACACGTTAACTGATACCTACTATTAGTAGGCAAAGCTTGTGAAGGTCACATCAGCTAAATTATTAATGGGTAGCTCTAGAGTCGTAGGTGTCGTACAGCATATGAGAAATGGGAGGGGAATAAATTTGATCCAAGGAAGGAGAAGGTAAGGTAGCTCCAGCTCTATGGATCACAACCTTGTCAGCAGCAGCAAGAGCAACGATTACTGCGTACTAAATAATACTGATTTATCGCTTGGTTTAGAGTAATATTTATTAGTATTACTGTTACTATATAAACATGTCATAAGATTTTACCACTTTTAATTAAAGTTAAAGCGACACAGAATATAGAAGCAAACTCTCCTCCACTCAAGGAATTAATACATCTGCTTTGGCTTACTTTTTACTGGTAATAAATTTTAACCACTAAACAATTAATATACCTTAAAAATTGTAATTGTGAGGAGTTCATGCAGTTGCAAAGTTCTGACATTTGTGTAATTATAATAATGATATAATCAAATTAAGCGGTAAATGCTAAAGGGTCGACACTTTTATGTAGATATCTTGAACAATGAGTCACAACCCTGTGACTGGAAGAATCCGCTATCTGCAAACTGGAAATTAAAACTGGACGACGTTTCAGTTTGTCCTGGACTGTTATTAATGGCATATCCAGCACGGACCGAAACGTCATCTAGTTTTGATTCCCAATATGGTAGGTTTAGTTTTGAGATGGATTATTTGACCCACCTTGACAGTGACAATCTCTCCATTGGTCAATCTCGCGCTGGCAGACCTGTGTGATGTGTTGCGGGAGGCAGCAGTCTGTGTTGGACGTAGCCCCCAGGCACGTCTTGAGCCCTGACAATGTCCACCATTTCTGGTTGATATGATCGTGTTTGGGATACATAATAACACGGGTCCTGGGGTTCTCCCACGGCACGTCCAGCGCCAGTGAACCTGCAACCATCCTGTCGAACTTATCTAGCGTCCATACGACCCTCGAGGTAGAGGAGGGAGCCAGACCCAAGCTGCCATTCCCGTTAGGCACCAGGCAGTAAGCACGGTCACCTGCCCACTGCCACTGCCCACCTTGTACATACCACTGCTGCTTAACGCTGCCCGTGCTTTTGGCCATGGCCAGCACGGCGTCAGCAGGGCCTGTGCCTCTCACCACCGTCAGGCAGGTGTGGCTGCTCTGGTTTACCAGATACTCTGGTCTCTCTACATTTCCAGCCATCACTAACACCTCACCTGTAATACATACTCAATCAGTATCCTTAATGATCAAGCCCTACCTGTGAACAACTGAAATAACCGTAATATCTTGTTTTTGTTTGAAAGTGGTTTAACTGGCCAGTAAAAATAATTTAAAATATATTAAACAAATTATTATTATAATCAAAAAAAAGAAGCGCTAAGCCACAAGGGCTATACAGCGCTGCAGGGCAGGAAGGGAGGGCATCAGGTGGCAAAAGGGAAGTGAATGAGTAATAGGTTACGGATAACAGCGGAGCAGTGGATGGTGAAAGGGTAAAGGGCAGCAAGAGACTGAGCTAGAAAGGGTTGAGGGGAGTGCATAAGGTATCATCATCAGAGTTTGTGGAGTAAATCAGTCGTTGTCAAGAAGTCAATGAGAGAGTCAGGATTAAAAGAGGGTCCATCAGCAAGAAGGGAAGGTAAAGAGAGAGTAGTAGAATGAAGACGGCGTTGGAGGTAAATTCTGCGTGCTCGTTGATAGAGAGGGCAGTCTAACAGAATGTGGCTAATCGATACTGGAAACTTGACACTGCTCACAGAGAGGTACAGGGTGCCTCTCCATGAGATACCGTGAGTAAGACGAGTGTGGCCAATGCGAAGACGGGAGAGAGTGGTCTCCCAACCACGGCACTGATGACAAGGAGAGACGGCCAGTAACCTATGCTCGGTTTAATAGAATGAAGTTTGTTACCAAGCAGAGTTGACCAACGTTGTTGCCAACGGGCGTGAAGGTGAGTAGCTATTGCAGCAAAATAGTCCAGAAATGGAACACCTCTATAGGAAATTGGTAGGTCATGTACTGCTGACCGCACAGCAGTGTCTGCCTGTTCATTGCCCTGTACGTCGACATGACCAGGGACCCAACAGAAAATAATATCTTCATGCTTCATAGAGATACGGCGTAGCCAAAGTTGGATATGGAGAACTAGGGGGTGAGATGTATCAAATTTTCGTATAGCCTGTAGAGCACTAAGGGAGTCTGAGACTACCACAAATGATGACACAGGCATAGATGCGATACGAATAAGTGCTGCAAGAATGGCATACAGTTCAGCAGTAAAAATGCTAGCCGAAGATAGTAAATGCCCCCGCACGATGCTGTCCAGAAACACTGGTGCGAATCCGATGCCGTCTGAAGACTTAGAACCATCTGTGTACACAGCAGTGGCATGAGAATGGGAGTGGAAGTGATCAAGAAAAAGAGAGCGGGAAGCCACCGTAGGCAGTTGAGCTTTCGAGCAAGGGAGTGAGAAAGAACAGACCCGAACAGCTGGAACTTCCCAGGGGGGTAGGGAAAAGTGAGATGCTACATGAACATATAAAGGTGGTAACTGAAGGGAAGACAAGAGTGAATGTAGGCGAAGAGAAAAGGGACGGAGCAAACAGGGGCGGCGAACGAATAAAGAATGTCTACTAATATCGGTGACCATTCTATAAATGGAAGGATTGTGGAGATCGTGAGAGCGTACATAGTAGCGAAGGCAATGGGCATCACAGCGATCAGACAAGGATGGAACATTCGCTTCTGCATAGAGGCTCTCAACAGGGCAAGAGAGAAAAGCACCAAGGCACAAACATAATCCTTGGTGATGGATAGAGTTAAGGCTAGAGAGAGTAGCAGGAGAGGCCGCAGAATAAATCTGGTCACTATAATCGAGTTTCGATAAAACGAGGGCTGAAAGTAGGCGAAGCAGAGTTCGACGATCAGCTCCCTAGGAAAGATGAGCAAGGGTTTTAAGAAGGTTTAGCCGGCTGTGACAAGTTGCCTTCAGAGAGGTAATGTGAGGTTTCCAGGATAACCTACAGTCAAAGAGAAGGCCTAGAAACCTGACTGTATCACGTTCGGGGATACGGGAGCCATAGAGATACAAAGGATGATCGGAGATGACAGAGCGTCTAGCGAAAGTAATTTGGTGAGTTTTGGTACTTGAAAATTTAAACCCATGCGTGGTGGCCCAAGTGGAAACACGGTCGACTGCATGCTGGAGAGAAACTGCAATAAGATGACAGCGCCTGCACAAGCAATAGCGAAGTCATCAACATAGAGTGATGACCAAATATTGGGTGGAAGAACAGAGGCCAAATCATTTATAGCAAGGAGAAAAAAGTGTTGTGCTTAGAACACATCCCTGAGGGACACCTTCAGCTTAGACGAAGTCCGGGGAAAGAACATTATTGACTCGAACACGGAAATGTCTGTCAGTTAAAAAGTTCTTAAGGAAGGATGGTAGATAGCCTCGGAGGCCTAAGGAATGGGCCTGGGCCAAAATATTATACCTCCAAGTTGTGCCATATGCCTTCTCAAGGTCAAAAAATATGGCAATAACTGAGTGATTATTCGCAAAGGCATTGCGAACATACGTATCCAAGCGTAGTAAGGGGTCTATGGTAGAACGACCCTTACAAAAGCCATATTGACTAGCGGAGAGACTGTTGTGTCTCTAAATACCACATTAAACGTCGATTTAGGAGACATTCCATCACTTTGCAAACTGCACTAGTAAGAGCGATGGGACAATAGTGGGAGGCATCATGTCCTGTAGTACCCGGTTTGCGGAAAGGGAGAACAATGGCAGATTTCCACAGCTGGGGAAGAACTCCTTGTGCCCAAATAAGATTGAAGAGGTGTAAGAGGACTACAAGGGCTGACCGATGTAAATGTTGTAACATATGAATATGAATGTCGTCAGGCCCAGCTGCCAATGATCGGCAAGCTGAGAGCGTTGCCTCTAGTTCTTGAAGTGTAAAAGGCACATTATACTGTTCTTCTCTGAGAGAAGAAAAGTCCAAGGGTACTAACTCTCTGGCAGACTTTGAGGAAAGAAACGAGGGGCATAGATGGAGCCCCCGGGAAATACGGACCAGATGTGTGCCAAGTTCAATGGCAATGTCGAGAGGGTTTGCTACATCAACACCAGCGACCCGTAGAACAGGAGCCGGGTCAGGAGAGTATTTACCACTCAATTTCCTCACTTTTTTCCAGACTGCACTCATAGAAGACGCAGAGGTGATGGTGGAAACATTAGTCTCGCCAACAAGTGCGTTTAGCTTCACAGATGACACGGGGCGGGTGCCGTTTTGCTTTAAAAACAAAAGAT